ACTTTATTAGTATTGTGCAAAAAGTGCTTCTGTTCGCTGGATCTTCACTTCCTAGCACATTTCTTCACCTCCCTACAGATATCTGCTGGGTTTTCAATCATCAAGAGACAAAATGCTGGTTTGTCTCATTTGTCCATTTGTGTCAAAATAAGCAGATGTGATGTGCTTCGATCTTGTTGATCTTGCAGGCTGATTTGGATCAATCGGTTTGAGTAGGCCACCAGGTTCTTAATCCTTTATCACACCACAAAGTTGTTAAAATGGCAAAAAGATTGCATGAAAAGTTATATGAATATATTCTTACCAGTTATTGAATTTAGGTGTGGAAGAAAGGATTTGACTAGACCAAAATAATATGATTTGATCTATACCCGGGGTCCGCAACCTGTTGCTCTGGAGCCCTAAATGGCTCTACCTTTAAAGTGGCTCTTAGTAATGTCTTACAATGCTATGAAGAAGCAACTATAATAACAAATACCAGTATTAGAAGCTTATAAAGAATTTTTTATAGAATTTTTAAAACAGAATGACAATAAAGGAACAAGAAATATGCTTTTAAATATACTTCTTTTATGGATAGCTTGGGTAATTATGTTTTTACAATTTGTTGGGTTTTTTTTTTTTTTTTACATCAAATAATATCACTTGGATGAAAATCCATCCTTCATCTTTAGTTTTTCCTTATTTTTAAAAGGTAAAAATGGCAACATATTTACTACACCCCCAACCCCCCAAAAACGAAGCTGCATTTTATCAATTCAGTTCAGTTTATTTATATATATAGCGCACATGTATCACAACACATGTCATCTCAAGGAACTTTACAGACAATTTAACCAGCTCATACAGTCAAATTGGTTCAAAGTTTTCTATATAAGCAAAACCGACTGATTCCATCGACTCATTGACTCGAAGGCAATCTCTCACACAAGCATGCTTGTAGTGACAGTGGAAAGGAAAAACTCCCTTTTAACAGGAAGAAACCTCCAGCAGAACCAGACTCAGTGTGAGCGGCCATCTGCAGAGACCAACTGGGGTCCAAGGAGACAGAAGCAAACATACAGTAAGAAGCAGAGATACAAAAGGAAGTGTCAACCAGCTGCGCAGGCGGGCCCGTCCAAGAAACACACAGCCAGGCAGTCGAGCTCCGAGTCAGCTCCCATGTCAGAAGATGTAAGAGAGCACATAAAGTTAGTCACAGTCAGAGCAAGAGGACTACACTGAAAAAAGCAGGCCAAGCTCCAACATCTATAAATAAAGGTGTTGATGGCAGCAGGACAGCTGATATTTCTCTCCAGGATGGAGTCACAGTCAAACAGGAACAGAACAGATGAAGCTACTATGAGAAAAAGCAGAGAGAGCATAATGTTACAGACTGAAAAACAAATACTGTAGAATGGGAGAATAGAGATAGAATGACGTAGAATGGTCCCTATGTCCTCCAGTAGTCTAAGCCTATAGCAGCACAACTATAGAGATAGCTCAGGATAACCTGAACAACTGTAGCTATAAGCTTTATCCAAAAGGAAAGTTTTAAGCCTAGCCTTAAAAGTAGACAGGGTGTCTGCCTTTAGAAATTCTAGGAACCACTAGTAAACCTGCAGATTGAGAGGGAAGTGCTCTGTTAGGAACATGAGGAACAATCAGATCTCTGATATAAGATCGAGCTTCGACATTTAAGGCTTTATAGGTGAGATATTTCTATTTATTGTAATATTCTGCAAATGAAAGCAGGAAATTCTAGAAACCTCTTTGATATGGGATTTAAATGACAGGTCCTGATCAAAAATATCACCAAGATTTTTTACTTTATTATCTGGAATCAATTTAATCCAATCCAAATTAAGTGACTGACTAATCAGCTTCTTTATCAAAGACCCTGGTCAAAAGACAATAAATTCTGTTTGTCTGCATTCAGAACAAGACAGTTAAGTCATTTATGACTCTTTATCAAAATGTTGTAAGATTTATGGCTATAAATNAAATTAAGTGACTGACTAATCAGCTTCTTTATCAAAGACCCTGGTCAAAAGACAATAAATTCTGTTTGTCTGCATTCAGAACAAGACAGTTGAATATCTTACAACTTTTTATCAAAATGTTGTAAGATTTATGGCTATAAATGACTATTACAGAGCCAGAAAAACTGCAAAATGGCTCTTTGGATTTTAAAGGTTATAGACCTCTGATCTAAACCTTCAGCTGTGTTTACTGTTGTTGTCCTGCTGGAAGGTAAACCTTCCCTCTGATCAAATGACCAGGAAATCTTCCACATACTTGAACATCTCGTTTTTTAGCGTCTTTCAACTCTTGCATACAGGACATATGTGTGTGATGCAAACCAATAGCTGTCCTGTTTACACTTTTTTACACACCCAAGGATCCCCAAAGCTGCCTCTGCAATGCTTTAGGTGCAGCACAGTGTTTTTAGAGCCTATTAACTAATTAAGCCTAGTGAAAGTAGTCACTTGCAATTAATTTTAGCAGGGGTGTGACCCCACATTTTGAAAAGCATGTCTCAATCATCTCTTTTTCACAATATGCACTGCTTCGTGCTACTCGTTCACATAAAATGCCAGTGAAATACATTAAACTTTGTGGTTTTAATATGAGCAAAAGTGAAAAAAAGATGGAAAGAATGTTAAACCTCCCCGGCACTGTAAATCTATAAGAAATTATGCAAAACAAAACCATTGGCAACCTTCATATTTATAAGATTTATTTGTGTTTGTCGAATAATTGTGCTGAAACTAACCAAACTCCCTGCAGGTTGCTGTAGCAAAACTTCACATTATCTCAGTCTTTAGTTTCTGTGAACTGACAGGGACAGCTTCCTTGCGCAGTCGGGATGATTAATAGGGCAGGCTTGCACTTGTCAAGTTGCATAGTAATTCACAACAATCTTCTCAGAGTTTATCTGAGAGCACAAGAGGGCACTTGTTCACCTGGGATGTGAAGGAGGCGCCTTATAAATAGCCAATCAGCATCACAATGGCTCAGATTTTTGAAGGTAAGTGAAACCAGAGCTGTTGGGTACATTTCCCTCCTGCTGTGGATCGTGTTCTCAGCCTGGGAACAATAGAGACTGCGTGGTCCACATTCTGATCCCGACCAAATCCAGCTGCCGAGCAACATCTCAGCTCACAACGCTCATAAAAAATGCTATGAGGCTGCAGATCTTTCTGGCACCCGTCACTGTTCTCTGACTCCTTAACTACAGCAGGCAGGAATGTTTGCTATGCTGACTAAATGACTGATGGATACACTTTCTGTTTGTGTTTCCCCTGACCATAAGGAAGACAGAGAAATCAAGAATCGATCAGGCAAACTGCAGCATATTGAAATCTATGAAGACTGCATGTATCTTTCAAGTAAATCTAAGCTTAGACATTGAATCCAGGAAGCAACAGAACCTAGCCACACTGTTAATTAACCAGATCATAAACTAACACACACGCACACACATTTGCAGATGCTCTACAGCCTCTCAAATGTCAAACAAAAGCAAGCAAATGCATATTTACAACTCTTCATGCACACATACACACACATGTTGGCAGGAATATTGGGTTTGGCTTGTTTATAATCAGATGCACACACACAGCTGTACACACAAGATGCCCCCTACCCCCTGTCATAAATATCAATAAGAAAAAAAACACTCTGTTTTAATTTTGTTTTGCTGAACAATGGTTTGCTGTCTGCTGCATCTCAAGCGCAGGCACCTGTTTCTGCCCTGCCACAAAGAAAATCACTCCCACACTTCTCCCTACTGTCCTCATAAAGACCAAATCAAGCTGCTAAAGATATTTGATCTGCATACAGGATTTCAATTTTACAAAATCAAACCTCTTGATCTCTGTTAGCAACCCCTTTGTGATTTTAATATTAAAAATGACATGTGCACGTGTTTGTACAAGCTCAGATCATTCTGTGGGGAAGGACAACATGGACCCTGGT